CTAGCACAATATGCTCCACCGTTTCGTCATTTACCCCACACACCCTACACATTGTTGACGTGACAGTGGTGTCGAAACGACGCCTATAACACAGCCTCCAAGAAGGAGTGTCAGTTGGCAGCGCCCCTTGCGGTCGTTTCGGTGAAGGGGACGAGGAAAGAGAGAGGGCACGGCAGGACGCGCGCCGCTCTTATGACAGCCATCTTACTTAGTACAGGAGGCGTTGGCTTGGTTTTAGTATAGCGTTACTGGCTCTTACGTACGCAATACGCAATAGTATAGCGTACGCTAAAAATGACGTGCTCGGACCAAATTTAGTTGTGCGTTACATTTTCGAGTAAACACCGCGCATATTCTTGGTTAAATTTGCTAGAGACGTAGAATTCGGCGTGCTTATAGCGCAACCATGCTCCTGGAAAGAAATACTGAAAAAGAAAAAGTGTCCAATCATTTTATTTCAGATTAAACCAAGCCACAGCTGTCTCGTCAAGCGCGCATTTCTGCGGGGTACAGAGGCTACGAGTACGAGTGCGTAGCCAAATTCGATCACGGAGGGAGCCTCCGTCACTCGTCCCGTGGAAACGGCACCTTTTATCAATGCTATCGCGGAATGAAATTCATGACCCTGATGTCCAGTGCATAGCGAGAACTTCGGCGATTTCTTTTAAGGTCGTTCGTCCGTCGGCGATGAACTGTGGGAATAGGCTTAGCGTTGAGCAGATCGCAGCGTCGACGCACACTGCGAGCGGCGAACATTTCCACTGTGCACTCCTTCAGCTGCAGGGCGATCTGATTCGACCGCGGTAGGTCCCAGAAAGAATCGCCGAGCTGAACACCACGCAATTTCACGTAACACAGAACTTCAAAAACACCACGTCGCCCTTGCTGCGCCAGTCGAGGCAACCGCCATCTTGAAACTGGCGCTCTCGTTGGGTCCGAGATCTCTCGAGAGCGTCCAGCAAGGCCCGCTTAGAGCCACTCGGTATGGCAGCATAGCTGCCAGAGTAGCGCCACGCTTTTCCTTGTGCCGCCTCTCACCGCGATTGGTCACACGCGGTACCATAGCAACGAGCTGAGCTGGCTCGGTTGCCGTAGCAACCGAGTGACGACTCGTCACGTGACCTCTCAAGAGCCGTGATGTCATCTGTAAGATGGTAGCGCCCAGAGCTGGTGGATGCGAGTTTGTTCGGGGCGCGGAGTCGCGATGTGCCGTAGCTTGCCGACGATTAAGGGCTTCTCCGTGCTTTCTGACGTAGGCATAACGTGAAGATCTGAAAGAATCATACTTTACACCCTTTCTGTGCAAAATGGCTCTGGATATTAGCACCTGTGCGACAGCATCAGTAATATCGCCTTAGCGGTGCTCGGGTTTCCGGATGTGTTTGAGGATCGATAAGACATTTAGCATGCAATTTTCGCATTCTCTTAGCTTTATTTGAACGTTGGAGTGTCTGAGAATCGATGCGAAGTCTATGCGTCGCATGTTGGGCCTTGGGGAATTTGTTTGTGCCCCAGGTAACCGCACGATCACAAACTTTTAGCGAGGAAGCTCCTGTGATGTTTACGTTTTCTACTAATCAACCAGGGAACCTGGGTTCAATCCCCACCCCTGCCCGTTTCGATCTGGATCAGCATCGTACCGGCCTGCGGTTGTGTATCACTACTGCGTGGTGCACGTTAAAAACCTATACACCCCAGGCTAGCGGTTATACTGCATTGGCTAAATTGCTCATTTACAGCGAGTGACTCGTCGCAACTTTGAAATGGCTGACCAACTACACGCTGTATAAATATTCACACAACTCCTAAGTATACTAATCAACGATTTTACGATATGCGCAGCGCAAGTTTGTCTGCTTCTTTATATAGGGGTTGTGGTGACGTCAGAACGCCGAGCTCTGATTGGTTCCGATTGAAGGACAGGTGGTAGACCTCAAGGCAGCTTGCTTTTAGGTCTTCCTACTATCCTTCAATCGGAGCCACTCAGATCTCGGCGTTCTGGCGTCACCACAACCCCCGCAAAAAGAAGCGGACAAACTTGCGCTCCACATAGTTTTTAGGATAAAATTTTCGCATTTTTCTAGCTTCCTTTGAAAGTCTGAATTTCTGAGAATCATAACGAAAGGTATATGGCGCGTGTAGGACCTAAGGGAAATTGTTTCAGCCCTGGGACACCGAATAATCACAGCATTTTTTTAGCGAGGAAGGTCCTGCGATGTTTAACCTTTTTTACTAATCGCCAATTTTACGAATTGGCGGTTCTGAAGATTTTGATATAACTTGCTTTCGTTGCAATAGCTTGTATTTGATCGCAGTGTTCTTTGGTTTGTTTTTCAAGTGAAAAACTGGCGTTTGCTCAAGTGACGTATATGAAATGTACTGCTATTAACAATGCATCAACACATACTATCAGAGGTGTGTTCGTCTTTGTAATTAACAAGTTACAGACGTATTTATTTCTTACGAGTGTAATATTTATTTTTTGTAGCTGGGCCCGTTTTGTGCCCCTTAATGTCAGTGTGTTATGACGTTATCATCATGTGTGTATGGTTCTAAATATCATTTTTACAATGCCTTCAAAGGCCAAAATGACGTCAGCCGACCCCAACTCACGCGTTGGACACGAAAACTGCGTCGCTCGGATGTATGCGCTCGTCAGCAATCAATTTGTCCATGGATATTTGAATAGACCGATCTCACCAAGCGTTCGACGCATGCGCGAGGCAGCCATAACTTTAGTTCACAGGAGGCGATCGGCAGTGCACGAGACTGTTTGTGCCCTGCAGGCGCTGAGCTCCAACGAAGTTGTCGCATGTGCAGAAAGACTAAAGTTCCCTCGATGCATTGCGGCAGCGGTGGCGTAGTCAAATTGGCTGGTGAGATCGGTCTATTCGAGTTCCTGGCTAATGAGTATCCTGACAAAACTTATCATCACTTGCGAATGCCAAGTTCTACGGTGTGCTTAAAAAGCACGGTGAAAGCTTGGGGTCATCGCACCGGTGCCCTAGCATGTCACGACTGCGTGATTTCACAGTTATCTTTTGAGTTGAGGATTACAGGTAAGGAAAAAGAAGTTTAAAAATAATTTCGTGGCCCCTTTAACACGGTTATGTGTGCTATACCACATAAAAATGTTGACTTTTTGAATGCCGGTAAAGTTCCGAACGACTGTTCGGCCTGTCGGCAAGAACACCTCAAATCTGGCGTCCGTCTCTTTTGATGGCGTCAAAAATCCTTTAGACACCACCATGCCGTCCTTCTTGGCTGAACCCCGTTGACGTCGCTCCTCACCAGTCGGTGAGAAAATCTCATCTTGAAGGGATGATCGGGTCTTGAAGAAGTATGATGCTAAACATATACTAGCTCACTATGGGGCAGTCGAGCAGCAGTCATGTCCCGGGCCAATCGTCCTGTCGTGGCCGGCGTAATCGGATTTTGTTCCATCGGAGCGGAGTCCGAAAATACTAGGACGGTACGTTCGTCCCACGAAGCGGCCGCCATCCCGGCAGCGCCGAAAACCACTCGCCTTGTCCGTGCACGTACGATACCTTAGCAGCTCTCGTCTCCCGACAATCCCCGGGCTGCAAATCGTCTCACTTTTCAGAAAAAAGAGGCACCGTTCCTCCAGAGGCTCTTGTCATACCGCGATGCCAAGCGTCCACTTTTGAATGAACGAATGGAGATATCAACTAGACTACAAAGGTTGCCGCCCGGCGTCACTAGAAGCACGGTTACCATGGCAACCTCCCAGGCCCAAAATGGAGATCACTATCAGCGCATCTGACGTCGTGTATCTAGAAAATTTTGCGTCGTGTCGCTACTCTGGCAGCTACGCTGCCATATAGAGTGGCTCTAGGCCCGCTAGCCAGCAACGCAAAATCCCCAACGTTGCGTGCGTACGCAATACGCTAGCCCTTCTATTGCGTTCTGCGCATGCGTACTCACGACCCGCAATCTCCTTGCGTACGCAAAGCTATAGCGTACGGTCCACTAAAACTGTTATCTGCCAAACTTGGTGGGCTACTCGCGGCATATTGGCGGTAGCGCCACCTATGTGTCGACGCGCACGGTCTCATAAGCTCTCATTTTGGAGCCGCGCCGCTCCCCACCCCTACCCAGTCTCCTAGCAACCTGCTGTGTTAAATCAGCTAAATATTAAACAACGCCCATGGTCGCCGTTGAGGAAAGGAACAGTTTGCCCGAACACGTTGCCCCACGCCAGTTCGCTCCCCCTTTTTGTCAGCGATCTTGAAGTGCTTTTAATGTAACAACACCGTTGTTTGTTTTTGTAGCTTGTTGCGGTTGTGCATCTGCACTTGTAACCACCCTACGAATTTGTAGTATTTATAAATAAATTACAACATAAACGAATAAATAAATAAAAATAGAGCTCGAGAGACTACTAAAACGTTCAGGATTTCGGCAGCACTTTAGAGAGGAAGGGTGGCCAAACCTTACTTGAAGACGACGAAGTGGAAAATATCTCGAGATAATTCAAGGATTCACGCACTCTCGGTTGATTTTACCTTCGAAAAAATAATGCCTTCAATCTAGAGCAGAAATATGAGACCTCGAAGACGCCGATGAAGCAGCAGTTTGTGAATACAAGTTGGTTGGACGTCATATGGAACGTCAGTTCCTGATGTGTCTTCAGGATCCAGCTACGTCTCAAGAATTCCGATGCCTGGACGCATCCTTGGTACGTTCATAAAGCAAGCTTTACTGTAAAGGACTACATTCATTCAAACTCCTCTAGTGATTTGAAAATAAAAAAAAGCTTAAAACCAGCGGCAGCAAGACAATCCCATGGGCGTAATCAGCCATATTCCCATGGTCCGTATTGCCATCGGGATCGGGCTTTTGCGATCACAATCTAATTCGTGTTTATCTCAATTTAAGTACAAAATATGGTGACTGAAAGTAACTGGTATTATTAAGAAGAGCGGGTGCAAATTATATCTATTTTATTGTTCGTTTTGTATTAGGTATAGCACAACGAAATGACACTCTACTTCACTGGATTCGTGCGGAGCCCTGGGGGGCTCCTCAAGATGATACAAATCGTGAGTGACGCCTGCGTGACTGGAATCATCAACTAATTCCTTTAAATATGTGCGTCGTGCAAGGCCAGATTCAACGGAATGGCATATTAATTTTATTTTGCCTTTCTTATTGCATGCGCAGCTCATCGGTCTTGTGCTGATACTGATCTTAATGGCAGGACATTACGATGTCAGCACTGGGCTCTACAGACTTCGAATCGACGCATTCCTTATGACTATGACTGTGTTTACTTTCGTGCTCACATCAGCCCTCCTACTCATGTGCACCATCATGGGTTCCACGGAATTGCCCAACTCAATCTTGGTAGTAACCTTCCTCTATAAAACGTTTCTACCTTCGAATTACCGGGAAATATCAGAATAATTCAGTGATCCGCTTAATTGGTATCATAACACTGATATCAACATTTGACTGGGAATAATCAGAACCCTACAATGTGGCCGTTATATAAACCAATGGCCTTTTGTCGAGCGATAACATACCGCTGACGAACTTCAGTTGCATCCATAAGTGGTAGAGTTCAACTTAGACAGTAGTTAAATGTTTATTTTGTTTTTACCTATTGCAGTACCGAATTAACTATCTCTTGGCCACAATCACCTATATTCCGTTTACTGTGGGGTTCATATTCGAAGAGTACATGCACGGAGACCTAAACCAGACCATCGCCGGTGGGGTAAGTAGCTTTACAAGTGACCTTCTACGTATGCGGCTCTGAAAGCCGCAGAAACTTCCGTACTTTACAAATCGCTACAAGGTATGAGGTCGCTTCCAAAGACATTTTAAATAATTTGCAAGTTTTAATATTTTTTGCATTAAATGATTCAATTATACAATAAATCTCCATTCATGTAAATTTAATAAGAAATCCAGGCTTGAGGTAAACTCGGATGAAGTGTTATTAAATTTTACTTCAAAAGTGAACACATGTACCTCCTCTGACTTCTCGATGTTGAGCGAACAAAAGTACTAGAGGCCTGCTGCTTAGCATTGAAAAGGGTCTGGTCGATCTTTCATCGCGTGTCTCTAACAAGAGGCGCGCCCCATTATCTTCTCTAGGTGCTGAGCATCACCAATTCTCTCATCTACATGTTCAACCTTTGTGTCAGCTACGAGCTGCGCTGTCTTAAGGGCAGGCGGAAGTCGAGGTTTGACTCGAACGGACGTGGGAGCAGGGGCAAGGGAGGAACCAGAAGAAGCCTGAGCAAGAAGGGAGGCGGAAAGAAAAGAAGAGGGGATTTGCTCTCGGACCTAGACCGCCCTGGCAAAGTCGCTCGAATTCGGAACGAGCAGGATCTGTTAGCAACCGGCGACGTTGAGACGTTCCAGCGCCTAGAGCAAATCCAGCGGATGAACCGGCTCTTGAAAAACGACCCTGCCATGCTCTTCACGCAGCAGGACAACTACATGACCGGTGCATCTCCCGTTCACGTCGCAAACCCTAATTACTTGGCACAAGCTGCTCCAGCTCAGTACCTTATGGAACCCCTAGATACCAGGAGTCCTACAAAAAGAAGAAGCCCATTGGGGGGCAGGAGCCCCGTGGGAGCTCGAAGCCCCGAGGGAGAGAGAAGCCCAGTGGGTGCTAGAAGTCCCACGGGGGCAAGGAGCCCCTTTAGGAAGAGGTCCGGCGAAAGGCTCGCGAGACGAGTCGTCCACCACGAGGTCTTCAAAGGGGAGTTTCTGCCGGGCGATGAGAGACTCCTCTTGCAGCCAGCTGTGGGCAGGGAATACATCATTCCCATTCAAGTCGAGGGCCGCGGAGAAGGGTCTCCGTCAACATCGAAAACTGAAACCGAGGAAGGCGAGGAATCAAGGAGCCCGAAGAAGAAGCGCAGCCCCAAGGGTAAAAAGAAAGGAAAGAAGTCGCCGAAGAAAAAGGGCAGCAAAAAAGGGAGCAAAAAGGGCTCCAAAAAGGGATCCAAAAAAGGAAGCAAAAAGGGCAGTAAGAAAGGGAGCAAAAAAGGTTCCAAGAAAGGCTCCAAGAGCAAGAAAAAGAAAAGCAGCAAAAAAGGCTCCAAGAGCAAGAAAAGGAAAAGTGGTAGTAAAAAGGGAAGTAAGTCGAAAAAGAAAAAAAGCAAGTCAAAGAAAGGGCGCAAGAAGGGATCCAAGAGCAAGAAGAAAGGAAAGAAGGGAAAGAAATAACTCCACGAGTTCACTGATCAATGCCATGAGCTTGGCTGCTTTCTGGTGCGTGTTTCGCATCCCGTACAGACAGCTTCAATAGCCTCTTGAGTTCAGCTATACAAGCAGATGTGGCCATTGTAAACTAATAAAGCATTCTCTAATCGATCACTCCCGGAGAAGTCATTTAGATAGCTTTAATCTTAGCTTAGAAATACAACCTCTAGTGATACAGGCGTCTTAAGTTATAATAATATGAACACACGGCACACTTTGAGGTACAGGTTTTATAGAAACTTAACAGAGGCTTGGTCGCTGACTCCTTAAAGCTACTATGTACATGTGCGTATTAAAAAAAAATTGCAAGCCTGTCAATTCCCGTACACAAGAACATCAAATCATTTTTAGCACGAGCTTACAATACAGCGAAAAGAGACGTTGATGGTAACGAATCAACGCCTGATGTCATCAAAGGTGTCAGCCATATAAGCAGAAGCAGGTGCCGAATGCCGCTTTGAATACCAAGAGATTACTAATAACTGCAACAACTTACATCATTTTATATATACCTTTCTTCCCTTCACTTTTCAAGTTTTAGATTGGCCGATGCCAAACATTTTATATGGTCGATTGCAAGCAGAGAGCACTGGCCTCTGTCATATTTTTGCTCATGGAGAGATCACGCACGATTGCAGATCTTCCAAAGGTATGTACCCTCCCACGCACGCTGCACTTGCTTCTACTGTACGGCACCATAAACCATGCTCTTCAAGACGACCGTCGATATCAACGGCGGAGAAACTTTTTTTTTTCTGCACAGCTGGCAGAAATACAACAGTTAAATTATGACGTTAGTGAAAAGCTGCAATATATCTCCGTGAAGACTCGTTTATGTCAACAGTATATTCGCAACCCAACAAGTGCCTAGGACAAAAAAGAATTGGTTTGCTACACTCCGTTCTTTCCACACATTTTCGTGCACGAAGAACGTTACTCGGCCCAGTTTCCGACATTCACGTATGGCAACAGCAATATTTTACGATTATTTGTGTAGGACTTTGTGCATACTAAAGGCATCGAATGGACAGGTTTTTCTCGAGTGCAAAAAGAGGGCACGCACGCCAGCGCTAAATAAGGTGGCAGATGATCCGCTACGGGGCAGTACGGGGCAGTAAACGCTAAAGCCCCTTCATGTTTCAAAGGTAGCGCTAGGTGCGTCGATGCAAGAGGCACGTGCAACGTGCAGCTCTTGTGAAGATCATGGCGGCACAGCGCAGCACTGAGCTAGATTTCAGACGCCATGCTCTTTCCAGAAGTGGCGCGCGGCACGTGTCTCGAGCATTTCCACAACAATGAATGGCGCCATTTTTCCCAGGATAGAGAGTAAACGCCCTCTAGTGATGCTCGTAACCAACGTCACTCGTACAATACAAAGCCATGACTTGCGGTTATCATATACGAGATCTAACTTCTTCTATAAACCTACTGAAGTCCGCTACCTCATTTGAAAGTGACGCTGTTTTGCGAATACACCGAAGCAAATATGGTCACGATTTAGGTAATAATCAACGCGATTAATCAGTAATATTAAGAAAGTGCAGTGCTCTAGAGTTACAAAAGTTAGCTCACATATTTGTCTAAACGTACCTGTGAAACACGCACGGCACGATGCTACAAGTTTCGATTGCTACCTCGCGCTATCTTCCGCACGAACAGATGGTAATTGTGGCAGCTTAGAAAACAACAAATGGGATATATATGTCGTGTTTGGTCATGAGCAAAACGAATAAAAAAAAATAAAGGGAAACAACAAGTAGTGTGGATGTTGCCTGCACAGCCTACATTCTTTGAGAAGAGATGGTGTCATGATTAAATTTTCCTTCCTAAACTATCCCCATCTGGCGTAACGACACCAATAATGTCAATTTCCCAGGAAAAAAAAAGGGGGGGGGGGGTGTAGGTATCCCTGGGATGTGTTTCGGGAGAGACACGCGTCTGACCAAAATATGAAGTTAGTCATTCTAAAACAGACAAGCACTTCGTTCATCCGATCTCTCGAGAATAGCAGCCTTGCTCCGAGATGATGTCAGACTCAAAGAGACGAGATAGCAAATGTATGCTTCGTGACAGTCTCGCCACGGCTGAGCGGCTGGCTCGTTCTGCTGTGTCTGTAATAAGCCGTCAGGCGACCTTTCTAATTGGTCCGCGGTGGCTGTGGCGGCGGCGGAGGTGGCCTCGTGGCCTTCCAGTCCTGGAACAACAGGAAGGCGCCGGCGCCGTACACGATCGCCTGGAGCAGTCCAAACACCTGTGGCGGAGTGGAAAGGAAACACCATATGGGGCGTGCCAAGTAGACAACCAAGACCCTTGCACAGTGCATAGTGTGGAACTCGAGCTATTATAGCGTTTGTGCTGCCCCACTATGCCGTCTGAATTACGTCTCGAACATTATGAATGTGGGCATCTCAAAGAAGGAACAAAAATTAAGTGAAGCTATGCCTATCGCTAGGCAACATGAAGAGCTTGTGAAGTGAATTAATAGACTGTAGTCACTGACAGCTCGCTTGTCTCGATCATTTTATTATTATTCCGCTGCCAGTGAGACTCCGGCCTTAGCCCATAAGAACGCCAAAGAACAAATTCCTAAGTAACAAGCTTGAACATATTAAGCGACGCCCTTTGCTTGTTCGTTTTTGTTATTTTTCACCTGAGGAAAAAATTTCTAAAAAACGTTTTACACTAAAGCCTACAAACTGCCTTGTGAGCCACAATCACTAAGAATTTGTGGGTAGCCAGGCACAGCCAGCTCAACGCGGTTGCTATGCGACGAGAAACTGAGGATGAGGAAGAGACGAGAGCGGGCGGGGGGGGGGGAGGGGGGGGGGGGGGGGGGACGTCAGAATACCGAGCTCTGCTTGGAAAAATTAGTAGGTATATAGACGCAAAGCTAGCTGAGCTGCCTTTGTCTCTACTTGCTCTTCGAACGCGCTCGATTGCCAAAGGCCGACGTCCAGCGTTGCGCGTTCGCGCTCGAACGCGTTCAAATAGTGAGTAGAAACATAGGCCACCAGCTTTGCGTCTACCCACTAATCCTTCCAACCAGAGCTCGGCGTTCTGACGTCCCTCTCGTCTCTTCCTCTCCCTCACTTTCTCCTGCACGTGCGCTACCTCATCGGATTTCACGCTCTTTTTTTTTTCTCTCTTTTTTTTCTATTCCCGGGCCCTCCGGCGGAAAAACCGTGCGCCGTTACGGGATGCATGCACGCTTACCCAACACCACCTAGAATGATCAAAGTCCGTGCAGTAGAATTTTGAAGTCATCACAGTGAGATCGAGCGAAGACGCCAATTGGATACGAGTGCTACGTCAGTGCTCGGCTGGGCCTCGTTCCCAGTCAACGCGTCGAAGGACGCTCGACGTCGGGCTCGGGTCCAATCGGCGAGTTGGCGCCATCGGACTCTGATGCCGTTCAATGGAGGAAGAATGGGGCGTTCGGCAGAGTTCGAGACGTCGTCCCGTCTATTTTCTGTCCCTTCTACGTTTTGATGCTTCTTCTCTACCTCAGTCTCAGGTTAAATCAACATGGTTAATATTCACCAGCTCGCCTGCACCCTTACGATTTTTTCTACGTTCGGAGGCTTTCGTTATTCTAGACGGTGTTGACTTACCCCGGCGGCGATGTACTGGCCGCTTAGGCTGTAGAACATAAGGGGCCAGACGTCGTAGCTGGACTGCGATACCAGCTGCGTCACCGACGCGATGATGTACAGCACTACAGCCGTCACTGTAAAGGCCAGCTCCTGCGACAGAGGAAACAACGAGAGCTAGAGACGTACTATAAGCACCTTCAGTCTTGCGCGCAACATTAATATCTCATGTCGGTGGTAAGCTGATTCCGTTCTCCTACCAACCGGGAGAATCAAAACACTCTAAATATGGGTGTAAGTTTTATACAAGAATGGTTTTTACTTCGTTGCAGCTTGCAGCAGCTGACGAAGTGCGAATGAAAGTTTCGGCGGAATTGATTGCTGTCTTTTTCTGTATAGCTCACTGGTGCACAAGACTACGTTAGCGATAAATGTGCAGCACAAATATGTCTGAAGGATCCTAAAAAGCAACCTGATCATAAAACTGCCAAACGATGCTCTTTGGCCAAAAATACGGTGTTACATTTGACATATTGTCTTCCATAATTTATTTTTTCTCTTTCTTGATACATTTAATGATATTATACAGGCGTGAGAAATCTGCAGACAACATGAACCCTGATTTATTGGGTTCTATGAACATATATATATTTTTTGTGCAGATAGACAAATGTCTTATCAATGCAACTATCAACGCCTTCTTTATTTATTTCGAACGCCTCTAATAATTCCCTTGACGTTTGATCTTTCCCCTGCCGATGATCCGAATGTTATCTAAATCAGAATGTCAATGTCAATATCGACAACGTTGTGTCATGTTGCCTTCTGTTGTGGATCGCGCAGAAAATTTATTCCCACGTGTTCTTGCATTAATACAGCTCCCGGTTTGACCGATATACACTTTGTCGCAAGTCAGTGGGACACTTGAGCATGTCTGTGCGATCCACAAGAAGAGGGCATATACGTCATTTCATTGTCGCGATTGTTATAGTGCTATATTAGAAGGCATTCGCATCATCTGTATCAGATGCAAACACAATATTGAGACACTGGAAGATCTGCATTGGAGACAATTAGTTTTACTCTAACAATTCAGTCCTGCCGTCCCTGGGAAAACCATAAATATAGCAAAAAAGCTCGTACTCATACAAAACCCCCCCGCAAAAAAAAAAAAAAAAAAAGATAGTGAGTGTAAGGTTAAAGTTCCAGAATGAATTGAAGGTTAAACTGAAGCGAGCAGTGGAACAAAACAGAAAAGTCATAATTATACGAAGGTAAATGTTGATAAAATGAAGAACTTGTAATCTCCTAGGGATCATCTACTGCCCCCAGGGTGCAGCAGCTACAAACTAACTCTGCGTCCACACGTATGGGACTCGACACTCCCGAAAATTGAGGATGAGGCATCCGGTGACCACTTACGCCCAGAAGCCAAGGCAGAGCGGAGAGCGCAGTGTTGATGCCCAGGACGTAAATGACGCAGAGCAGGACTGTAAGGATGTAGCAGAAGGCTGCCACGAACAGGAAGAACCGTGCGTAGCCAATCAGCGCCGGGGAACCGCAGCCCAGGCAGATCATGCCGAACAGCTGCGTGCAAGATAACGGAAAGTCAGAAACCATCGTCCAAACAAAGCACTTTTGTGTGTCTGTGTATGTGTGGGTGGGTGGGTGGGTGTGGGTGTGCGTGTGTGTGTGTGCATGTGGTTGGACTAAACGAACATTACGAGACTGCATAAACCAGTCATTTAATTTCGTTTTTTTGTTTTTTTTTTCTATGCATGGGCAAAAAGCAGAAGCTGCTGAAGTTAAATACCGCGCGAGTCAAAGGGACAATTTGTTGCCTTTTGAGAGGGGCTGCATAAATCGGTTGCTTAATTAGTTACCGTAATGAGCTAAGGGTTGGTACAAAGGCGACCGAAGATGGCGCATTCTGTGTATAAAAAATTTCGCGGAAGAGCAAAAAAATAAAAAATAATTAAGAGCGTGCCATAGAGACAAGCGTCTTTGTTTTCCCCGAACTTAGCAATAACCTGACAACTGATAATCTACCGGCGCGGCATAAATTACGTCGTAAATATAGTCACTGAGAGCAGTATATAACTGACTGCGGCGCGATAATCAGGTGCTGGGGACGAGCCACCCCCTGTTTTTCTCGTGCTGTTGGTGGGTACAAAGTCTTCGACGTTTAAATTAATTATACCATTACCACAGCTGTGACGGTTCAGCAGGCCAGCTGGAATGACAATGGGTATACCATCGGCGAAGAAAGAAGATGCAACGAGGCACGCTCTAATGATCTCAGTTCCAGGCATCCCATACTGTGACAACACGACAGCTGTCAATGCTCCATCACATGCTCAATTTTGATGCGTATACAGGGCACGCTATTCTACCATGTTCGGCCATGCAAGATCTCGAGCCCCGGAATGGTGTTTGTTATGGAAGCTTCCAATGGAGCCTCGAACTGTATGACCAACAGTACTGCATTGTCTGTCTTACTAAAATAGTTTTATTTATTTATTCTTTTTTTTTAATGGCGGAGACATCAAACGCTGTATCTCAGACAGACCTCCGGCTGTATAACGTTCATAGGATTAGAACCACGTTTTACCTATACCGTACAACAAGCTCCCGCCAGTAGAGTGACGCACTTTTGACGTAATACGTGAATTAGTGCAATCGATATCTGGTGTTAAATATACGGCGTGTAAGTTTGCCTGCTCCTTGCGGACCTCGCGCCTTCGTTTACCCGCCAAATGCGCCCATGTTCTTTTTTTGTTTCCCCGACCATGAGGGAGCGCGCTTGTCTGACTTGTCATCGAGTGCCTCCGGCGCGTTGTTATTGTCATTGGCGTTCCTATGCGCCAAAGACGCATTTTGGAACACTTGCTCGCCGAATACGTCGTTTCACCATCCCATCACAACCCGCAGAAGCTGCGAGCTATTATGGCTAGTACAGCGCCATTTGCGCAACGTCATGACGCCCTCTCTTTATCTCCCTCTCTCTCTCTCTGTGAGTTTGGTACCGCCTCTGAACCCAATCAAGCCCGGCAAAAGCGCCATGACTTAACCATTTTAGTCTGAGAGCCGGTGTGTTACTCCCTATTGGAGATTTTGTCTTTTATTTATTTATTATTTTCAATAGAAACGACAAACTCCTTACGGATCTGTCCCTCTGAAAAAAGTATGGCAATGTTCGTAGGCATAATGCAGTCAAACTTTCATAATCTTTTTTCAACCGTATTTAACATTTTTTTTATATATTTAAAATTGCTACGTTATAAAATTGTATAAAAAATGTGTTAATGCAGTGGTAAAACCTCAAATTAGGCCGGATTTCTTCATTACAAACGGCCATTTAAAAATAAGACAACTTTCTAAAAAAATTATTGTTTCTTGACAGTTTACACTCAAAGAGCAAAATTAAAAAAGGTTTATAAAGCATTGTGATCTCACATAAACTACGAAAAATCGGTAATCATTACCTTATTATTAAAAAAAAAATTGGTGTCCCTTCCGATTTTCCTTTTTTTTTGTTTTGTTTTGTTTATCTCTTTCGCCATCTATCCAGATCTATTCAACGGCCCGCTAAGAAGCCCAAAAAGATCGATTTTAATGCTGACCTTCAGCCTTAAGTACATTCAAAGGTGTACTAAAGACGTTTCTGAGATCGTTTGCTCTTGGTGATAACGAACAATTATGTTTGTGCGACGTCTATTTTCCTACTAAAAATGTGATCGAAGTTCGCGCCACGCCCCTTTCTGGGCGGAAAAATCTGGAGCACAGAATCGAGCGGAGACGCCGGCGGCACGAACGCGCGGACTGGCTGACGCGCGCCCATCGGCACGACGCCTCCGCTGGATTCTGTGCTCCAGAGATTTCCGCTCAGAAAGGGGCGTGGTAGAGCCACTAAATGGCTCTACCACGTGCCGCGCACTAGGTGCCACGCACTAGGGCGTGGCACTGACTTCGATCACATTTTTAAAAAGTCGTGAAATGGACGTCGCACGAGCATAATTTTTCGATTTCTGGGATGCTAAGATGCCGTACAATGAGTTATCACCAAGAACGGACGATCTCAGAAACATCTTTAGTGCACCTTTAAGCGCCTTTTTAAAATAAACATCGGACTTGCTCATATTACGGACCGTCGCCGTGGGTCTGCAGTCACTTAGGAGAAACGGAACTGAGCAGAAGATTAATTTTCTCAAGATATTACATGGAGCTAACAAAAAGAAGCAAAACAACACTCTAAGAAATGCCTGCGCGTCTACTTACCCGCAAAGCACTCGAAAAGCCAATCTCTGTAATCTACGAAATCAGCTCAGCGAATGATGAGGCAGAACATCTGTTTAGATTTTAAAATGAAGTCCGCGCTGTGGCATTACGCAATGCAAAGCGTCGTGCTTGCATTGCGTAATGCCACAGCGCAGACTTCATTTTGAGGTCTAAACAGATGTTCCGCCTCATTATTCGCTGAGCTGATTTCGTAGGTCGCACAGATTGGCTCCTCGCAGTGGCGTACCAACTTGTTTTGATTGGGGGGGGGGGGGGGGGGGGGGGGGAACACATGCCTTGCCCCCCCCCCCCCCGGTTGGTACGACCATGGCTCTTTGAGTGTTTTGCGGGCGAGTAGACGCGTAGGCATTTTTTAGAGTGAAGGGGTATCGTGGAACTGTAGAAATATGACAGGGGAAAATAAAAAGGACCGATAAGATCACTGGCACAACGCCACTGCATATTGTTTCCTAGCAGTTTTTTTTTTTCTTAACCCTTTTGGCACGACGTGCTGTGTGTATTTCAATTTATTTCATAATAGAACATAAGCGACGACTTTGCCGAAAGTACGTTGAAGAACACCACAATGAGCGTCAATACTTGAACACCAAGCGTTCCTTTTCCTTTGTTTCATTTCTTTTTTTAACGAAGCGGAAATATGCGGCAAAAACGAGATGTCGAAACTGGAACTATTCTATTTTTCAGCGCAGCCAAGCATCACAGCAGCAGCACAAGCTGTAAACGTAATTACACCGCGGCCCCTCGACTCAGCAGCTCGAGACAGGGTCACTTGTCGATGCCTACCGTCAGGGACGTTCCCCGAAGACAGCTACCGATTGTTTTCGTTGTTAAAAAACATAAACAAACGCAAAAAAAAAAAAGGCGATTGCCGTTTTTTATAGTTTGCAGTCTCCACGGTGACGAACGTCCTGAAACGCTCAGCATTATCTTGTGCTTCGTTTTAGTTTTTGTTTTCTCTCGTTTAAAGTCGCATTTAAAGAGACGCTAACACGCCCCCTCCCCCCCCCCCCCCCCCCAAAAAAAAAAAAAATGTTTTACTTATTTTCTTTTTAGGCGAACTATTGTGGGTGTCAGAAGACTACCCAATCAATATTTTGCTACAGTTTTACGCATAGTTTTAATAAAGTAAGAAAAAACGTACCTGCTCGAAACCGAAACCCATACTGGGCGGGGGAGGAAGAAGTTTCTCAGAAGCCACGAAAAATGGGTATCATATTTTTTGTCCATTTCTAGTATTGAGTGCGTGCCTTCGATGACCCACGACTTTGATTATATTTAATGATTGTGCCTAAACCATAAAAAAACAAAACAAACGGCACGTGACCCCGGAGAAGAGAGTGTACTCGACTCAAACCGGCCAGTTCTCGATCGACGGTTTTCGGGTGGAAAGAAAACGAATTTCGAGCCGCAAATTGCATTCTGGGTAGTTGGGCTCTCATATGTCATGTACATATAAAAAAAAAGAGAAAAAGAAAAGACCATGGCGAGTATAAATACTCTGTCAGTGTCCCTGAAACGTTTCTGTTAAACAAGGCCAGCGAAGGTCGATCAACTTCTAGACGACAATCGCCCCCCCCCCCCCCCCCTCCCCAGGTTACTACACTCTAAAAAAAGCCCGTGAGTCTGCTTTCACGTACAACACTCGGAGGGCCAATCACCGCAACTTGCGGAGGCAGCTCAGCAAAAGACAATGCCGAAACATATGGTTAGACCAAAAAACGCAGTCTGAGTTGTGACATTAAGCAATGCAAAACGTCATGCTTTGTCGTGCAGGTTGATTGCTCAAAACGTAACCGATGTAAAAGATATTTTTAAAAAAATAAACTTTTTAAAAAACACAGTATTTTAACGCTTTTCTTTCTTTCTTTCTTTTTTCGTATTGGTGTCATCAATATGAAACGGGAAAAAAGCCTCCATACGCGCTCCCCTGACTGAACTGTCTAAAGCAGACGGACACAATGCTCGTCAAAGTTACGGTTCAGGCATACACTCTAAGAAATGCCTGCATGTTACTCGCCCGCCAAACACTCAAAGAGCCAATCTCTGCGATTTACGAAATCAGCTCAGCGAATGATGAGGCGGAACATCTGTTTAGACCTCAAGATTAATTCTGCGCTGTGGCATTACGCAATACAAGCATGACGCTTTGCTTTACGCACTGCCACAATGCAGATTTCATTTTTAGGTCTAAACGGATGTTCCGCCTCATCATTCGCTGAGCTGATTTCGTAGATCGCAGAGATTGGCTCTTTGAGTGTTTTGCAGGTAAGTAGATGCCCAGGTATTTC